AGTTTGCTTGCCTCAGGAAAATTGGCGGCTTCCCTTGTAGCGAGTTCTTGTAGTGTTCTCATAGCTAAATATGGACTACAATTAAGGCCGAAAGTAACTGTATTCAATGTCCATTCGGACAAAGGTTCGTCGGGCGAAAATCTCCAGAGAATCTTTTGAAAGTTTCGGTGTTCTGGTGTAACCAGAATTTGCCTGAACATTTGTTCTATGTCGGCGATAAAGACAAAGGAATGAAGTCGAAAAATAAGAAGTGTGAATATGTCATTTTGTAACTTGGGACCTGAAAGTAAAGTGTCGTTTAGGCTTAAACCCTTTGGACCCTTCGCGGAACCATCCCACACCACACGTAATTTTGTACTTACATTTTCCGGTTTAATAATGTAGTGGTGGGGTAAATAACACGATAAAGGAGGTTTTGGTGAATCTGGAGACACAAGGGACATTTGACCAGTTTCTATAAATTCTTTTAGAAAATCTGAATAAGCTGAATATAAGGTCGGATTTTTCAAAAGTCTGTTTTCTAGCAGAGAGAATCTACGAAAAGCCTTAGGGTACATATCACCCAAATCAGGTTCAGAATTTTTAAAAGGCAGTGACAAGATAAATTGGCCTGTGGAACTCCTGGAAGTGGTAGATTTGAAGATATCTTCGCATTTTTTATCGTCAGGTGACAAGTGAGTTTTTGAAGGAACTTGTTCAATTTCCCAGAACTTACACAAACTTACGTCTAAGGGTACGTCGCAGTTTATGAAAAATGTGCTGGGAGAGTTTGAATGTAAAATATTATCCACTTTACCAAGTAGAACCCATCCAAAAACGGTTTCGATTGCTGTAGGCGGGCCTACCTGACCTACTTTTCTACCTTGACCAAGAATTTGAGTAAAAAGCTCGGCCCCAATCAGCAAATCAATAGGACTTGAAAGGAAATAATTTTCATCTGCTAGATTCAAGCCTTCTAGATGTTTCCAATCTTTGTATTGCAAGTTAAAGCTTGGCATATCGGAACAAACCTGTGGTACTACTACAGCTTCGAAAGAAAACAATTTTTTCGAATTAGTGCGTGATCGAATGGTGCACTGCGCCAACCCATTCGAAGAAAAGGATGACACTTGGTTAAGACCAAAAATAGACGTGACGTCTTGATAAACCTAAGCGGCGTATACATTTTTCGCTGAGAAAATGACATTGGCTACCACTGTCGATCAGTGCACGTATCGGCTGGAAAACCCCATTTCCATCCTGAATTTCCACTGTAGCTGTAGCCAGAAGCACTGTACCTCTTTTTGCAAATGCATTACCAATATGCACTGCTTGTTGTTGGAGTGTATCAGATACACACATGGTTAGTGATGTGGTTGAATTTTCCCCTTGTGCATTCTGTGTAGTCAGGGGGCTAGGAAAAGCAACCTTTAAAGCCGGAACTGAAGAATGGGACGTAATATGTAAGGAGGAATGGTGACTGGTGACTATTGCGGCAAACACGACATCGGAAATTAGAAGTACAGTTCTGTACACTGTGAAAATGATGCAAACAATTGGAACATAATTTATTCTGTTTGACGTAGGTATTCCTATCCGTTACCGTTTTTTCTAGAAATTTGCCACATTTTGAAAGGGTGTGAGGCTCCTTGCATAAGTAACATTTTATTTGTGAATTTGTAAAACCTGAGGAAACTTTGTTGTAAAGTGCAAAAGATGAATAAGGTTTCTTGGAATTTTGGAAATTTTGCGAAAATTTATTATTTGAAGGGAAATTTTCAGGTTTTATTGCTTTGTTCGACGAAATCTGCTGTAAAGATTCCAATGCCTTGCATTTGCTTTCAAGAAAATTGTACAAGTTTGTGTAAGTCGGAATTTCGATGTCACTATATTTTAATTCACATGTAGTGCGGGTATTAATGTCTAATATATCTAAAAGCAATGTAAATAAAACAAAATCCCATTCATCTGTGGGAAACTGAAGTGCTTTCAGAGCTAGTGATTCTGAAAAACAATTTAATAATGACCTTAAATCACTAGCGGTATCGTTTTTTAAGGTAGGCGACATAATTGAATGCATAGCATTTGAAGCCAAAAGGCGTTTATTTTGGTACCGTTTCACTAACTTGTCGTATGCTATTAGATAATTGTTATTTGTAATTTGTATACCGCCTAAAAGAGGTTCATCTTCTAAATAGGCAAAGAGATATTGTAATTTATCTACATCAGACAAAGAAGAATTTTCATGAATTAGTTTTTTGTAAAGGTCGTAAAAGGAGGGCCAAAGCTTTTGGTCACCCTTGAAAATAGGCAAGTTTATTTGTGGAAGCTTTATAGATGAAACGACGTTAGATTGAGCAGTCGGCGCCTATGTACCTTGAGTATTTATTTCAGGAGGAAAGAGTGTAAATAGAAATCGTTTCGTAATAGTAATTATCGATGTCTTTCCTTATTTTGTCTTGAACTTTGAAGTCACCTTCCTCAGAAACCTCCATGATTATTTCATTATGTAGATTTAAAGAGAAAGAAAATCGAAAGTAAAATAGTTTCAGTCAAACTATTCTGAAAATTGTAGGTAATTGTAATTGTAATAGTTGTAGAGCAAAATAAGATTTAGAACAAAATAATTTTATTTTATTTTAATTATTATGAAAATTCTAATAATTGTAATTAATTGTAAAGTGAAAGAAAATTGAAAATTAAATAATTATATTTTTAATTATTATGTAAATTGTAATTGTAATTGTAAAGTGAAAGAAAATTGAAAATTAAATAATTTTATTTTTAATTATTATGTAAATTGTAATTCGTAAATAGACCACGCTCCCTGACTATAAGCAAAGAATATTGCCTTCTGAAAAGATTGCGACTCGCGACTGAAAAAACGTCACAGCAACGGCATGCGATGCTTGGCCAATGCCACCACTGTAGTACCCGCGGTACTGAAACGTTTGAAAAGTACTGAAACGAGAAAGAAAATTGAAATGAAATGGAGTTTCTTTAAAATGAAATGGAAAGACTAGCTGTGATAGCAGCGTAGCGTAGGTTCCGTGCCTGCCCTATGCACCAATAAAAGACGACAACTGGTTTGATACTGGTATTTGCGATTTGGGTACCTATTTTGGGTATATGCTTAGAAAAAAAATGAATTCCTGCAAAAATTATTTTAATTTTATATAGATATTACTTTACTTTTAAAAATTAATAGTATATTATGCAATGATCATGTAACTCGCATGTTATATACGAAACTCGCCTGCGGCTCGTTTCGTATCCTACAACATGCTCGTGTATTAATGGCCATTATATGAGAGTTGCATACACTATTTTTTCTACTTGCATTAATAAACGAAAATAGTATATTACATACCGAGTAGGGAAGTGTTTCATTACTGTCGAGAGATTTATGATTGACTATTATAATCTCGAGACAGAAATGAAAACTTTCCTCTGAGGTTTGTATACTATTTTATTTGCAAGCAAACCATTAATTATAATTAGTCATTCAATTTTTGTAATATTAAAAAAATAAAACAAACTTGTCAAAATGTGTCATTTGCTGTTTTGGCGTTTTTACCTGGCATGTTGCCAGCAAAGGTGAATAAATAACAGTGAGGGAAATCGGTGAGGGAAGTCGAATACGGAAATCGGTGAGGGAAATCGAATAGGGAAGTGACACAGGTAAAGTGTCACTTCCAAATTTTTAAAAAGTCAGTAATGACAAGATTACATATATGATTGCAAATAAACATATTTATTTGCAATCATATATGTAATCTTGACATTACTGGTTTTTTAAAAATTTGGAAGTGTCACTTTACCTGTGTCACTTCCCTCTTCGATTTCCCTATTCGACTTCCCTCACTGTTATTTATTCACCTTTGCTGGCAACAATGAGAACATGTCAGGTAAAAACGCCAAAACAGCAAATGACACATTTTGACAAGTTTGTTTTATTTTTTTATTATTAAAAAATGGTATAACTAATTTTTAATTAATGGTGGTGCTTGCAAATAAAATAGTATACAAACCTCAGAGGAAAGTTTTCATTTCTGTCTCGAAATTATAATAGTGAATCTCGACGCTTCGCGTCTCGATTGACTATATAAATCTCTCGACAGTAATGAAACACTTCCCTACTCGGTATGTAATATACTATTATTTTATAAGAATAGTAAACTTCTCAACTGGCGACAATTGTTGACAACTTGACAGTTTAAAAAATTAAGATCTAGACCAGTCTGTTATTTTTATATAAACATTGTTCATGTTCAAAATACGCGATTCCAGTGGCTGAAAAATCTGTATCATAATGAAAATCTGTATCATAATGAAATTCATTATGAAACAGATTTTAGGCGTATTATGAAACGTCAGTAGAAAAAATTTATTTTCGACAACAGGTAGTTAGAAATTCAGCCGAAGGAGCAATTTGTTTACGCAATAGTATTTGAAATTTAGTAAACTGGACTGACTGGAAAATGCACAAACAAATTGAAATTGGAAATGAAAATGATTCCATAGGGTTGTCGAAACACACAAAAGTTATTACCACTCACCTGGGTTTTCTTATAAGCTATTCATATATACGGGGATCCCCTGAAAAACGGTTCTCCACGACCACCAACGTTAAGGCAGTCAAAGTCCCTTTTCAACGGCACAAAACATAGACTTTTTGAGAGTAAAACACGGAACCTGTAGAAAATGCAACGTGCATATCAAGAACCATTTAGCTAGTGTCAGTAAATCCTAATCTTCAACAGCTATGTGCTTCGGCGCAGCATCGTAGAAAATACACTCTTGTGTGTTTTACGCGAAATTGACATTTAAGTAATTCTTTAATAAGAATGAGAAGAAACCAAATTTGTAAATAATGTTGCGTCAACAACATCCAAAAGATAAACACCAGAAGGAAGATATTGGGGCCAAACCCGGCCTGTTCATTCTGCATTTCAAATAACCAAGACTCAAAAGACTTTAATTTATAAATCCTGAAAGTTTAAAGTCACTTTTGTACGTACTTGTTCATCTGCAGGTGCCTCCTTTTTATCAACCTCCTTAGAATTTGCTGAAGCTTCAGGACTATTTGTGCCTCCCGTTGCCACTTCTTTGTCGCCAGACGAATCGCTACTGTTAGAACTTGCAACAACATAAGGCAAAGCTTGATGGGCTCTTTGAGAATTGTTTTTACCTAAAAAAAACACATTTTTGCAAAACACTTCTTTAAAAGAACATTTCACTAACCATTCCTGCTAGTTCCAGGTTCCTGTTCTGCAACAGAACTTTGCGGTATCACTATTTTCAATGGAGGCACTTTCAAATCGGTTTTACCGTCACCGGAATTTGAAGAACCATCATTCTAGATTATTTAAAAAAAATTGTTTCAATTTTATATTTATTATTCAAATATTTACCTCTGCATCACTGGAATTACTAGTGGGTTTTGGACTGCCATCCGGAGTCTTTTTTTCTGCAATCGAGGCGCTAGATTTTGCTGTAGCCGAAGCTGCATTTTTTCCAGCTGATTGTTTGGCGTTTTGGTTTTTATTTTTCAATGTGGCTTTGCCAGTATCTTTTCCTCCGTCCTCTTTGCGTTTTTTCTTTTTGTTTTCCTCGTCTTTTTCGCTGTCTTCGTTGCCTCCTTCAAACTCGGAATAATTCCTTTTATTGGAAGTTTCGTCAGTTGTAGGATTGGTATTGGGTACTGATAGTGGGTCAGTTGGTTCTGTTTCAGGGTCAGCACTTTCGGGGTTTTTTTCTGAGGCTGAATCAGCATCTTTTACTGATTTGAACTCGTATACGTCGTCTGCTGATTTTGTGTCCATGGCTTCGCTTGTGGTTTTCTGTTTATCGGTTGAAGTTGTTGCAGAAATTTTCTTTTCATCCCTTGAACGTAATGGTACTCGGGTTGTTGAGCTACTTGTTTCTGGAGGAAAAAGTACCATGACTTGTTTATGATTTTTTAATTAGGTGGGTGTAGTTTTTGACAAATCCAGACTTTTAGAATAGAAGCCAAAGAGAAGTGAGAATTTGAAGAATTCTTTTCAGAGAAAACGTTTTTCAAGTACCCAAAAGTCTGGCTTTATTAGTCGTCTTTATTTTGCAAGTTTTAAAAAAGTTTTACTTTGTGTGGTTTTTGAGAAATCCAGACTTCCAGGATAAAAAGAACTATGTATGTATTAGATTTATCTATCACTTTAAAAATTGTATTTGAACCACTTTAATTTGAGAATATCTAGGGAGTATAAAAACACAATAGTTCACTTTGAAATAAAATACCTATAACTCAACTGATAAATAATTATTGCACATAAATGTATTACTAAATTTGAGCAATAATAATCGATAACTCACATTTTGCAGTAATAACAAAAACAATTAAACCGACCGGTTATCAGTAGTACAAACTACATAATAAATAATTGTTTTAACTTTTTTTTTTTCAGAAAACTTTGCAATGCAATCGAGGCAAGGCAAGCGGCAGCAGCAGGCAGAAAATAACTTTTCCCCTTTTAACTTACTGCACCTATTTATAAAACACAAACTGGTTTTTGACAAATTTTAATTGCGCTCGCCTCTTGATTACCTTTTTAATTAGTTACATTTCGAAATACACTCACACACACAGACACACAACAATAATTGGCATGCACTCTGTGGAAGAGAGAGGGACATTGAACTCGTGATTTGGGTTTCCTGCATCGGAGTCCGTTCCTGCCACTTGTGTGGTCTTTTCGAAACAAACACGACATCAATTTCTCATGCAGGATTTACCTTTGTTGTGAGACGACTGAGTGGCCCGTCTCATGGTACCGCACTTACTGTTCCTCTCCTGCCCGGTTGCTGATTTTCGCTGTGTGAAATCTGTGCGTAAGAATCTCCGCTGGTGCGATGTAGTGTACTTACGGAGAAGGCAGGAGATGCACAAAATGCCCCGGCAGGAAATAGAATTTTGTTTGTACTAGAGTTATGAGAATTGTACTAGTGGTAGCGAGGAGATTGGGACAAAATTTTGAAGATGAATTATGGATTCAAATGGGCAATAATTGATGGATCGTTTTTGAGCTGAACGTTTCAGCTTTCTATCTATAATAGAAAAAAAGTTATGACCTTTCAAAGTTTTCCAAGATCTAAATCATAAGGTACGTATCTTTTTACTAAAACGATGAAATTTCAAATTTTTTTTTTTCGAGATTTTCTGTCCTAATGGTCAATCAACATATCCCAAACTCCATACTCTAAATTATTCTCAGATTTGAAGCCGAAATCTATGAAAAAAGGCACTCAGAAAAATTGAAAAATTGATAAATCACCCCAAATTGCTTAACACGATTTTATCTCAGGAACTATAAGTGCAAATGAGCTGAAATTTTCAGGGATTGTAGTCCTTTGCAAGGGATAAAATTCAGTGAAAGTTTCAGCTTTCTATCTATAATAGAAAAAAAGTTATGACCTTTCAAAGTTTTCCAAGATCTAAATCATAAGGTAGGTATCTTTTTACTAAAACGATGAAACTTCAAATTTTTTTTTGTCGAGATTTTGTATCCTAATGGTCAATCAACATACCCCAAACTCCATACACTAAATTATTCTCAGATTTGAAGCCGAAATCTATGAAAAAAGGCACTCAGAAAAATTGAAAAATTGATAAATCACCCCAAATTGCTTAACACGATTTTATCTCAGGAAATATAAGTTCAATTGAGTTGAATTTTTCAGGGATTGTAGTCCTTTGAAAGGGATGAAATTCAGTGAAAGTTTCAGCTTTCTAACTATAATAGAAAAAAAGTTATGACCTTTCAAAGTTTTCCAAAATCTAAATCATAAGCTACCACAGTACTAAAACAATGAACTTTGGACTACATTTCCTGTAAATTTGAAGTTGATAGTTTCACAAAAACTAAAATTCATGTAAGATCTAGCTAATCTTTCTCAATAAAGGCACTCTTCTGAAAATTTAAGATTTTCGCAGCTTCCATGCAAAATTCAAAATTAAAGCTCAATAACTCAATGATTTCATGAACCACCAATATCGGATTTAACTCAGTTTATAGGAAATTTAATGCCCTTTTCAATTATTATCCACTTCAAATTGCTCCGATTTAAATGGAAATATGCCCAATTGTTCATGGAAAAGTGAAAATTAGAAAAATAAAAATTTTGGATTTAAGTAAATTTGAAGAAAATAAATATTGTAGATCCAACAACATAATTGTATTAATAGAAATATAAGTATTATCCCTAAACATTTTTGATTCCTATCCATAATACAGAATGTACAAGTTCTAGTACAATAATAAAGCTTCAAATGAAACAAGGCCAGCATAGCACAGGGGCGGTAGAATACAAGGCGATTGGCCCGAAAAGAGGGGATCGACCCGCGGGTGATATAAGGCATTGATTTTCCAGGACAGGGCTCTAAAATTTTCAACCACGCAAAACTTACCAGGTATGGGTAAATTCGTGTTGAGCAAGTGAGGTTGTACGCTAGCCGTTGCCAGTTCAAAAGGAGATTTTCCTTTGGAGTTTTTCGCGTGGATGTCCGCTCCTTTTTCTACCAGCAGCTTGATCAGCTTCAAGTGACCGTTCACCACAGCATCGTGGAGAGGCGTATCATTATCCAGACCTTACACATCACGAATTAAAAATTATGTCCAAACAAATAAATTTGAAATTACCTTTTGCGTTAATGTTAGCTCCAGCTAAGACCAGCCTTAAGGCAACTTCGTACCATCCGTGATTGCAAGCTTCGTGCAAAGGGGTCCAGCCTATGAGAATTTTTGTTAAGGATGGTGAGGGGTTTTTAGGAAAAGTACTAAAGATTGTTTTACATGCTGCAATAATAAAAGCACAAAACGTTTTGGTTAATATTTTGCAGGAATGATTGTGAATGAAAGATGTTTTAAAGATAAGGAGGAGAGCAGTGATGTAAAGTTTAGGTAATTTTTCCATCATTGCAGCAAGTAAAACATCAACTTCAATAATTATTACAATTTCTTTACCTTTTGCTGGCTCAATCAAACTTACAATTCAATTATTATTAAAATGATTATTTTCAACGCACAAATCGGCGATATAAATTAAATTTACCAGCAAAATCCGAAACGTTAGGGTCGGCGCGATGCGCTAACAATCTACAGACTTGTTCTACATCGCCCTTAATGGCCGCTAAATGCAAGGGGGTTTCACCTCTTTCGTTGCGGTCTCTGGTCTTGTTCGAATTGCTGCTGGCAGAGCTCGGACTGCGCGATCCAGAATCTCCAGACGAAGAGGTCATCTGCATGAGCAGAGCCATCTGCTGACGTTCGGACATTGGAGTCACTGGTGGTGTTCTAGAGCTGCTGCCAGAATTGCCTTTGTTTGGTCGTACGTTTGCAGGCATTATTTGATTTCTGGTTTCCTAGAGGAGAGAATTACAGTGGACATTGTTTTGGTTTGAAGACATTCCTAGATATAATTGTGCAACTGTTTTCTTTTGTATATTGTTTTAAACTAGTTATGTTTCACTATTTTATGTTTTGACCGTTCTTGCTCTTTGCATACAATTTTACCATTGAAAATAATGTTTTTTGTAGTATGATAACGACATTGAACAATTTTGAATCGCGCTAATTGTTATTAGAATATTTTTCTGATTAGTTATTGATTTTGTCAATCCAGTTTTCACCTTAGTATTGACAATATTCGATGATTAGGAAAAATGTAGGACCATATTTAGGATCATATTATAGAAGTGAGATGGGTAATGTTCATTTGTTATAGAGTTTGATGTGATTTTTCTTTACTTATTGTATATTTCGTTTTTGTTATAAATCTGTTCGAAAGCTATTATGTTTCTTATTTTGATCCCGGAGAAATTCCATTTTATTATTGCATTATTTATAAGTGTGTTAAAGGGTTTCTATCATACCAGAGAACACTACCTACATATTTTGTCCTAAATGGTCTCTGGTAAAATGGTTTACCGCCTAATATAGGCATGAAAAAAAAAAAAAAAACAGAAAACTCTATTGCTAGTGACATATTATCTTTTCTTGTTTCCAGAAGACTGCATAATTATCATTTTCTGTATAAAATAGATTCGGGAGAATTTGGCCCGTTAAGAGTTATGCAAGATAGAATGCTTGAATGTTGAAAGTTTGAATAACGATTCTATGATCTGGCATAGGCCGTTTTTCAAGTTTAAAGGAGATAATTAAAATAAACATGGTTACAGGTATAGGTGAGAATGTTAAAATACAAAAAGTCGAATTTTGAGAGCCTTGTGTGAGTGGTGAAATTACTAGGTTTCCTTTTGGTTTGAGGATAAGAAATCAAAGAATTTTGGAAATTATACATAATATGGATGTTTGTGGTCCAATAACTCGCATTATGTATGATGGTTATAAATATTTTGTAACTTTTATCGACAATTTTTCGAATTTCTGTTGTGTGTATCTGCTTAAAGCAAAAAATGAAGTTTTTGATAAATTTAAAGAGTACACGGAAAAAAGTATATACCTAGTGAACGATATTAAAAATATAATATGCTTTATTAAAAAATATTAATCCATATGGGACAATTACCTAAGATAATAAGACATATAATATTTTTCTAATAATCAATATACAAGATTTTCTATTGAGAATAAGTATCCTTTCTCATTACCGATATTATAAAATTTTAAAATGTTTCACAATAAATTTACCATAAAGTCTATTACTTGATGTAATATAATTGAAGAATACAGTTTTATTAGATCAATAATACGTAGATTTTGAAGTGTAGTATGTTTTATAATAAATAATATAATAGTTTTATAATAAATAATACAATAGTTTTATAATAAATTGTACTACACTTCTATATTAAATTTTATTATAAAAAATTTCTAAGGTAGGTGTATAATAAATAAAACAATTTTTTACATATTTTTCAGTACTTATCACTTTTTATTGCATATAGTATAAGGTACCTATATATGTATATAATAAGGTAACAATAAGGTGAACAATTCAAGAAAATTAAATCATTATTTGATAATGTTGAAACTAGGCAATGTTCTATGTATCATTCAGAAATATTTCGTCGATGATGTTATCATTCAGAAAAAAAAAATCCATTTTGATATACATAATCAATGTTCATCAAACAATCCATTATTTTGATGTTACTTGTTGAACTAGGTCCAGATCCTCTTAACAAGCCTAAAATTTACAATAAAAATATTCAAGTTATTATCCTATTTGTATTTTGGTAGTGACTATTAGCAAAAATTTTCAAAATAGGTACCTATATATTGTATACCTACTAGACATATAAAAATCAAGAACTTACTTTTTTTCTGGAGGTGGATCCTGGATGTCGTTGTTCCTCAGAATGAGGCGTATCAGGTACCCAGTTTTGATCGATAGAAAAGTTCGTCACAGTACTTTTGGTAAAGTCTCTACTGGCCTTATTTCGGGAAACTAGGTACCTACACCAAATTCTAGATCACCTAGCTGAAAATTATAATATTTTCAAATTAACTGAAATTTGAAAAAATATACGTCCCATTTTATGGTTCAGTGATACTTACATTCAAATGTTTCCTAATGTGGAAAGGTCAAAACTTTCCAATATCTTCTTCATACTTTCCATGGGAAAAGGATACAGGACAGTCAAGACACAATAACGAAGTACGAATATGAGGAAATGCCGCGCGTTTCCCTTCTGAAAGTTCTGTGCAGACTAAAGCAACAAGCAAGCAAAAGCATATCCCAAAAACGTGTAAAAATTTTGGGTGCGTAAACAGTATAATCTTTGTTAGTAAAATTTCAATATTTTAGTATTTATGTATTATAAACTGTACTACCTAATATGCTCGCTAATATGCTAAAATGCTACTATGAGCAAATAGGTTATAGACTTAACAAACAGGTATAATAGGACACCTACTTTATTATATTTTATAATAAAAACCACACTCCATTTTTTAGGACAAAAGATTCTACTATAATTTTTTATATCATTTATTACACATTGCTATTATTTCGTTTATTAGAAATATGTGATTATTAATATTATACAAGGTTGATAAATCGTAATAAAATTATTTTACATGCTATAATATATTTTTTACAATACAATATATTAAAGGGATTTTTTTTCCGTGTATGTCAGTACCTATGGTAGAGTCCAAATTTAATAATAGAATTTCGAAACTAGGGTGTGATAATGGGGATGAATATGTGTCTAGGAGTTTTAAAGATTTTTGTAAGGAACGGAGTATAATTTTGGATTACACAGTACCATATACCCCACAGCAGAATGGAAAAGCAGAAAGGAAAAACAGAAGCTTAGTTGAAAGAAGCAGAGCAATTATTCAGGATTCTAGGGTACCAAAAGAGTATTGGGGTGAATCGGTGGGAACTATAAATTATATAATATTGAATAGAGGCACATCAGTTTTTTCCAATGGAATGACACCAGCAGAAATATGGTATGGACAAAAACCAAAAGTTAATAATTTCAAAATTTCTGGTTGTTTAGCGTATAGCCATATTTTAAAAGAATGTCGTGACAAATATGATTCTAAAGTTGAAAAATGTGTAATGATAGGCTGTGGAGTTTCAAAACACAAAAAGTTATTATTTCTAGAGATGTAGAATTTAATGAGAATGTTTTTCCATTCAAAAATAATGTTGTTGGTATGGTTGATGAATATCCTAATGATAATAAAAATATAGAAAATGTAAGGTCTATAAACCTAGCAGTCGCAAGGTGGAAAAAAACTTCGGGAACTATATAATAATTAGGTGCTTTTTAGGTGCTAATTAGGGCCTTTAATTGAAAATTAGATGCTCCTTTAGTTTTTGAGAAAATCAAAAAAAAAACTAAGGGATTGCTAGGTTTATGAAAGCTAGTAGTCCCCTATATTAAAAAATATTTTTCCTAAATTTTCTTTTGTATCAGAATCAGGTGATTTTTAGGTGCTCTTAAATAGTCATAGAAAAAATAGAATTGATTAATTATTAACTGAGTTACAGTTTTTTTTTTAATTATTAGGGGACTACTAGCTTTCATAAACCTAGCAATCCCTTAGTTTTTTTTTGATTTCCTCAAAAATTAGAGGAACACCTAATTTTTAATTAGAGGCCCTAATTAGCACCTAAAAAGCACCTAATTATTATATAAATCTCGAAGTTTTTTCGTCATTCTGACACACCAAAATGTACACGTAAAGCCAGCAGTCCCCTAATAATTAAAAAAAAATCTGTAACTCAGTTAACAATTAATCAATTCTATTTTTTCTTCGACTATTTAGGAGCACCTAAAAAGCACCTAATTCTGATACAAAAGAAATTTTTGGAAAAATATTTTTCACTATAGGGGACTACTAGCTTTCATTAACCTAGCAATCCCTTAGTTTTTTTTGATTTTCTCAAAAACTAGAGATGCACCTGATTCTTAAATAGAGGCCCTAATTAGCACCTAAAAAGCACCTTATTATTATATAGATCTCGAAGCTCTTTCGTCATTCTGACACAACAACATGTAAACGAAACGTAAAGTCAGCAGTCCCCTTATAATTAAAAAAAAATCTGTAACTCAGTTAATAATTAATCAATTCTATTTTTTCTTCGACTATTTAGGAGCACCTAAAAAGCACCTAATTCTGATACAAAAGAAAATTTTGGAAAAATATTTTTCACTATAGGGGACTACTAGCTTTCATAAACCTAGCAATCCCTTAGTTTTTTTTTTGATTTTCTCAAAAACTAGAGGAGCACCTAATTTTTAATTAGAGGCCCTAATTAGCACCTAAAAAGCACCTAATTATTATATAGATCCCGAAGTTTTTTTCCACCTTGGGACTGCTAGGTTTATAGACCTGAAAATGAAGATTTTCATATTCTTGATGATAATATTTCTAAGAATTTAGCTACTTCTAAAAATAATAATCAAATTGAATAGAGGAATGAGTTTCAAGACAGAATTTGTAGAGAAAATAAGCGTACCTACTGTTATAAGAGATATAGAGTGCCATCCAAATTTGATGAATATGAACTATACATGGCTTTTAAGTAATGCTTATAAATTTGTTGGAAATGTACCAAATAATTTTTCTGATTTAGAAAATAATAATCCAGATAAGTAGGGGAAAGTGGTTGAAAGCGGTAGAAAAAGAGTTGGATTCGATAGAAAAGAATGAAACTTGGATGAAAGTTAAGTGTTGGATTTTCTAATAATTATTCCTGATTTTTATATTATTATTTATATTATGGTGCAATCTATCCTTATTGTATTGGTTACAAGTATTGGTGCAATATCAATTCTCCCAAAACATAAAAAAACCCACAAGAAGGAACAAGTTTTTTAATATGCTTCTTCCCCCCAAATTCCAATAATGGACTCGTCCACACCTAGATATTTTAAGG